AAACCTGTGAAGGATCCCTGTAGCCGTGTCATTGTTATAGTACTGCTGTTAAGAAGGCCACGGTACTGTAACACTATTTATAATAAATAGCACACTTTTGTTAGATTATATAGGTAGGGCTAGTAATTTTTAAAATTTAAAATATTGATTTAACGATTCAATAAATGGGTGTTACAAAATGAAAGCTGAATAAATAAATATAGTACCATACCATCCTGAAATAATGCCTCAGGGAGTTATTTCGAGAGGCTTAATTTAATAATTAATTTGTCCTAAGACTTTTCTTAAACTTTAATATTAAATAGATAGTAAGTTTAAAAAATATCTTTGGCCAAATTAACTATTGTCCCAGACATTATTTCAGGATAGTATAGTATCTGATAAAGAAGTAATATAAGTATATACTACAAAATATTTATGTAATAGAACTAAAATGCTGATTGTATATGTATTTTAATGCATATTGCCAAGTAAAATTTTATTTTTATATAGGTTTTTATTTTGCAGCATTTAAATCTAAAATTTATATAATTTTCATATTAGTCACAAACTCGCAATAGTTACATGAAATTCCTAATTATATGATGTGACTATTGCGGAAGTTGACTATAATAAAGTATAACAAAATGAAATTGGTAAATTGTTGCACTTTCAATATATTTTTTTTATTTAGGCCTTATACTTTACTGAGAAGAATTAATAGAGACCAAGATTAAGATTTTGAACTCAGAACTGGTACTAAAATATCTTTTCTTATTAAGACAAATCGATTGGTATCAAAATCATATGATTTTAATTGACAATTTTTAATAATTTTAAATAGCTATTCCATAAAATTTTTTCTACTTTTTTTAATAATGACTAGCAAGCTAATACAAAATAATCAGCTGGTTAATATAACTGAATCACATGACTCTTGCTTTAAATTGATTAATAAAATTGTGAATAAAATAAAAATTATAATAATTATTAATTAAAATATTTTTTTATTATGATAACTTTGTCTAAGCTTTATTTTTATTTTTTTTTTTTTAAAGTAAGGTTTTGCCTTTATCTTTATTTATTTGTATTAGATAACCACTAGAGGTATCACAGGCCGGAGCCAATTTACAAATTTTTACAAGAATGAGACTCAGACTATAGACTATTGAATCTAATTTATCTGCAATCTAAACCTACTAGAGTGGTTAAAACTCACCTAGATTAAATAATTTAAGATATGATTGGTAGGTGTACTAAATTTAATCTATTCAGTTATCTAGCTATCTATTTTTTTAATGACTTTACTAAGTATAGAACAAATTTCATAGTTATTGCCTGTATGTTGTTGATCAGAGAAGCCACATATACAATTATATGTATATGTTATTTTGGAACATTGGGGTTAAGGTTAGAAGGATTGTTTGGTGCTTGTTGATTTTGTAGAAACCGTCTGGGTATGTTGTTTTGTTGTTTCCATTCTGCTAATTTTGTACAGTAAGGTTTCCAGTAGTAGTTGTAGATATTTTGTATGAGTTGCAGTAAAAATTTGATTGTGATGTTGGTAGCTGTTTTATTACTATCTGTAAATTTTCAGATAGTTTGAATTAATTGTATTGGGATGTATTCCTTTATTGTAGTAAATAGGTTAATGTCGTTTGATTGTTGTTGGAGTAATAGGCAGTGGATATTGCTGAGTTTGTTATGTAGATCATGGTTTGTCTAAGCTTTATAAAAGTTGTAAAGAAGATTATTGCAATTCTAATAGTGATAAGATCATTAAAATTAGCTTTATAGATCATGAAATATATGTAATTATTAAAGCCCAAGTAAGGTTATACTGTAATAATAATTATATCATATGATATAAACAAGGTCACATGATATATCACTTTTTATTGGCTAGCCGTTAGCTTATTTTAAAGTTAAAAATAAGTGTTCTAATAATAAAATCAGTCAAGGAAAAATTTTTATTAATATGCAGAAGGTGGTTTCTTATATGAATTTTTGAGTTATAAGTGATTTTTTCTAAGTGAAGGTTTGTTTGAAATTTTCTAATCACATAATATTACACTAAATAGTGGTTCATTATTGGCTTGATTTTGTTAATCATCACATGATAGTAAAATTACATAGTAATTTTTCTGATAATTCTGTGTTTGATCGGCTGTTGTGTGGCTTAAAATATCAGGTATATGACAAGTCACCTTCTTATAACCTCTCTAGCTCACCCTCCAAATTTTTTCCAGTACATGATTTTAGCTAATTAGATTGAAGGATCAGATGTAATATGAAAATTACACTTTTTACAAAAATCACCAATAACTTGAAATTTTGTTTATAAAACTGCTTTACATGTTTTAACAAAAAAATTCCTTGCGAACTTTTGGTGTAACTTATGTCTATCCCTTGACCTTAATCTGAATCCTAAAATGATATTTATTGTATTAAATCTTTCGCTTATTTGATTATTTTGTTTTTACGTATTTGATTGTTTTGATTTTACATTACATCTAATCTTTCAATCTAATTGGCTAAAAATTATATGTCAGAAAAAATTTTGAGGGTTAATTACTAGATATCCTTCCTATTAGCTAGCCATTAGCTAATATTTTAATTGGCTAACTTAGCCAGCCGATCCAAATTATGTGGCTTAATATACTAGTCAAAACAAATATGTTTTGTTTTTAGGGGATTATACTGACACAGAATGCATGTAACTTATCTACGTTATTGGCACAGCAAATAATCAATATGAGTATCATATTTTTTAATATGCCTCGATAACTAATTAAATATGATTTGTAGTCATTACTATTATTTTTCAGAAATTAAAAAGATTGGAGAATAAAAAATTAACAAATAAATATATTGATGCATAAGATTGATAAATAAATAACGTATGCAATAAAAATTTTAAGTAAAAAACTCAATAAAAATTTTATGTGAAAACCTCAAGAAATCTGTTCTTACCTATAGTATAGTTAACACCAATGTCTGCTTTGCTTCTTGCCACAAAATGTGCGATCATGAAAATTTAAATAAAATCAGATCTAGCTATATTGAATTTAAAGAAAATGAAGTTAAATCTAACGAAAAGAACGATGAGGCAGAGTCCAACAATGAAGATAAGAGCGAATCAAATAAAGAAAATGAAATAAAAATTTGTGAAATCAAAAGTAAAGAATTGTGTAAAATTTATAATAATAATTTGTATAATTATTAACTAACGTATCTTTTTATTAGCCATTAAAATGTTAGGACAAATTTACATTACAAAAAAAGACATTCTCAATATCGTTCAAGAAATAGCACAGTGTTTCGGGTTTGCAGTTACTACTAAAAGTAGTAGTAATCATTATTTTCATCTTCAGTATAACCGTTGGTGGTCAAGCTAGAAATACTTCAAATCTAACAATAGAGACACATCAAAAAAAAAATTTGAGCAAGTGTTGTGGATGTTCATTTCTATTAAAGGCCGTTCCAAAGATTCTAAATGGCAAGTCATTAAAGTAGCAAATGGACATAATCATCCTATGGCTAAAGATGCAAGAGTTTTTCATGAACATCGCAAATTAACATATGATGCAACATGCATAGCTGTGCAAATGTTAAAAGCTGGTGCCAAATCTAGTATGATTTATAAAGCCCTTAGAGATGAAAACAAAGAGCCAATTGTAACAAGAAGAGATATTTCTAATTTGGGTACACAAATTTATTATTCAAAGGAAAATGCATTGATGGAAATACTAATAATAAATATAGAAAAAAGAGGCTATACTGTTCATCGTAAAGACTATAAAGGTAAAATTTTATATTTTGATTTTTATTTGATTAAAAATTATGTCAAAAATTTTTATATTAATATTAAATATTAAACTTGTATATAGGCAGGCATATCAAGCATCTTTTCTTCTGTCATAATAATTCAATTAAAGATGCTAGGCATTTTCTAGAAGTTGTTTTAGTCGATGCAACCTACAAAATGAATGTTTATAAACTTCCATTTGTAAATTTCATTGGTGTTAGTAATATTGGGGTTACCCGATTACAAACCTTTGGAATAGCTGATGCTTGGATCTCAGACAAATCTGAGAAATCATATGTTTGAGTAGTTAAACAGCTATCTTCTCTTATTTTTTCTGATATTTTGCTCTCTGTATTCGTTACAGATAATGATGCTGCATCAATCGGTGCCCTTAAAAAATTTTTTTCCCAATCTAAAAATCTTCTGTGCATATGGCATATTATGAACAACTTTAAGAAGAATTTAAGAAGACACTTTATAGATGATTCTTTTGATGAAATTATAAAACTAGTAGATCAGTTTATTCATTCAAAAGACTACGAAACTCTAAATTTAGCAATTGCCTTCTATAAAACTCTGGCCTCTTCAAGTTCAAATGCAAACAAGGTGATAAAATATCTTGATAGGAAAGTATTAAATCTTAATTTTTCTTTTTAAATTTTTTTATTTTTTTTTTTTTAACCCTCTGATGAGACGTCATATATCTTTTTAATTAAATAATGTTTTAAAAAATGATGAAAGTTAAAGAGAAGTGGATCAGAATTTACACCAGTAGAATAATGCATCTTGGTGCTATGACAACACAACATATTGAAGGTGCACATTCGGCCATAAAGAATGCTATCGAAACTTCCAAAAGTTTAACAAAATCCTTTAATTCACTTGATAGATGGTTATGTTTACATCATGAGGAAAGGTTACTACAATATGAAAACAAAAGTATAAATATTGATCCTTTATTAACATTGGATGATAAAAATCGACTGAGACCACTTTTAGGAAAGGTAGCTTAATTTGCTTTAAATAAAATCAAAATTGAGCTTCTTAAAGCAACTATATATAAAGCTTGCTTGTGTGAATCACGAGTAAATTATCATATATCCTGCCGACATATGCTTCCAATAAAAGGTCCTGTTATGCTATCGGTGATTCCAAAGAGATGGTTACTGTTTCCTAATGAAGATCAAGACAATTCTAATTATATAAAGAATGATTTATCTTTAACTAATCCTGATAATAGTTTACTCAAGTTTCGGCTATATGAGATTGAAACACAGTATATAAACTTTCCTGACGAACAACAAAAATCGACTCTTTTAAAACGACTTGATGATATTTTAGCAGTTCTGAAAGCAAAGCTATCTGAAATAAAGATTTCAGAAAAAATCATAGGAAAGAGCCGCCCTTCTGGAACTAAACGATTACCAACTGCATTGGAATATATAGAAGCAGAAAACAAAAAAAAGAAAACTAATGATGCTAAAAAAAAACAAATTAAAAATATTAATCCTCTGCAAAATAGTTTGACGTTTCATGTTGAAGATATAATATACGTTTTTAATAGCAAGTTAACAAAAATCATTAGTCTACATATTAATTTAAATATTATCAATTTACTTTATATGATATTATTATTAATTAATTATCCTTTATAAATCAAATGCCAAAAATTTTATTGAACTCTCGAATTCCTATTAATGATGTCGATCAAGTTTATAATCCAAAAAGCGATAGAATTGTGGATTTTGGGCTTTTGCTGTTGCTATTAGAGGGAATAAAGAGAATGGAAACCTTGTTAAGCTGGCCATGAATGGTTAATTGAATAAATATTTAAAGGTTTATAAAAACTGGTTGGGATATAATATTAAGTTATTTAAACAAATATTAGAGTCTCGGGAATTACCATGTTCACCTTCGTTTTGGTTTTTGTCACCTGATTGTACACAATTGGCTGCTGACACTTTTTCTGTTCCTATAG